GGGGGGGGGGGGGGCTGGGGATCGTTCTGGGGCTGGGTTGGGTGGTGGTCGTTGTAGACCTGAACCAGTGGCTGTTGTGCTTGAGCTTGTCATGCGTGTCCTCATTTTGCGCTCCCGCTTCACCTTGCTCCCTCCTCCTCCTCGCGTGCGCCTCTCTTTAGCTGGCATTGCTGACGTCGGACATGAGCCGAGCATGTTCTTTGTGAAGCGAGGCTGCGGGCACTGGCGTGCATGCTGCGGGATGGGGTGGATCTGGCTGGCAGTGGTCCTCTTGACGAGCGGGCTTGCTCCTGCCCTGGGGGCAGGCTCCTTGTGCGCCGCGCCCTGCACGCCCAACTTTAAAGGCACCTACGTGGTCTGCAGCTATCGCCGCTTGCTGAGCCTCGATGTTCCCCTTTGCCCCAATCAGATGTCTCCCGATGTTCGCGTGACGTGCGATCTTGACGCCGCCACCACACCCGTCTCCCCCGACTGGACGGTGGCCGGCCCCCATGTGGCACCATTGTTCAACAACATGTCCTCGCTGTCTCTGCAAACCACCAATGGGCCCTGTTGCACGCTGCCCCAGCGCAACGACACGGCCTTTCCAACTCTCAAGAAGCTCGATTTGCAATGCACCACCTCCCTCGAATTCTGGGCGACCCTGCCCACACCCCTTTTCACGACGCTCGCCACTCTTCGCTTAACCGTCCCCGCCTCCAACGCCCTGAGCCCACGGGATCTTCCACCCCCGTCCCCACCGCTTGTTGGCGTCACCGCCTTTGACATCAGCGCCGCCGATCTTGTGCAAGTCACCCCCGACGCCACCTTTGATGGTCTTCCCAATCTCTCCGTCCTCAATCTGGCGGGAAATTTGCTCACAGCTGCCCCTGGCCAGCTCTGGCAGCGTCTCACCGCGCTTCGTTTCCTCGATCTCAGCGACAACTACCTGCAAAACTTGGACTCTGCCGCTCTCCCAAGCTCGCTCCAAGTTCTCAATCTTAGCCGCAATCGCCTGCCCACCCTCCCGGCTGCCCAGCTCCAGGCCCTCACGCAGCTGCAAGAACTTCACCTCGGATCCAATGTGCTCACCACCTTAGCGCCTGGCGTCTTCGCTCCCACCTCCAATCTTCGGCAGCTCACCCTTGCGGCCAACCATCTCACCGATCTTCCTAGCACCGGTCTCTTCGCGGCCCTGACCCGCCTCCAACTCCTCGAACTGTCCGACAATGCCCTGACCAAGCTTCGAGCCGGCGCCCTGCGGGGCTTGGGACAGCTGCGCACCATCAACCTCAGTTTCAATCAATTGCAGACCATGGAAGCCCAGGCACTCGCAACCGTCCCCCAGCTTCGTGTGCTCAACATGACTGGCAATGCCGGCCTCAAGACATTTCCAACCGAGCTCTTTGCACACCAGGGCTTGCTCGAGCAGCTGCTCTTTCCAGGGTGTGGGCTGACGGGCTTCGCCTCAAACCAGTTTGACGCTCTCACTAGTCTGCAGCAGTTGGCCTTTTATTCCAATAACGTGGCCACCATTCACCCTCAGCAGTTTGCACGCCTGACCAACCTCGTGTACCTGCCCATGGCCTCTAATCGGCTCAAGGAGCTTCCCCCGCACATTTTTGATTCCCTGACGCGCCTTGAGGTCCTCTACATTGACTCGCACCGCTTCACCAGTCTCCCGCCGGGCATTTTTGACCGCCTCACAAACCTTCAGCAGCTTTTTGCTTACAATCTCAATCTCACGAGCATCGATCCTGGCCTGGTGCGCCACAACACCAATCTACGCTATCTGGACTTGAGCAACTCCTTCCAGCCTGCCCACAGTCAAACTGTGGACCTCCAGCTCTCGGGCCTTGTCAACCTCACGACTCTGCTCTTGACCAGCCTCCAGCTGCCCGCTGGCACCAATCAGGCCCTGCTGGCGCGCACCAATCTGGAACACGTGGAACTCGGCGGGGCCTCGGTGTGCGACCCTGCAACTGGTATTGGCAATTTTACACTGAGCGACGCCATGTCGCGGTTCGTGCTGCAAGACACCAACTGCGAGGCCATCTGGGTGGCGGCCCATCGGGTGGCGGCCGAAGTTGTGCTCATGTACAACAAACAACTGACCAGCGTCACGGTTCGCGCAATTGATCTGCACGAGCTGGCCGTTTCCCACAACCCCGTGCTGCGCACGCTCTCCAGCCCAGCCTGCACTGAATTTGATATGAGCGGCACACCCTTGCCGTATGACGACCGATACTGCCAGGCCTGGGGGCAGAATGTGTTTCAGGCACGGAGCCTGAGCGATCCAAGTTCGTACAGCGACAATCTGGCTCGTTTTTTGCGCAATTGCTTTTATAATGCTGCCATTCTGGATCTGAGTGGTAACGGCTTTATGAACCGGCTCACCGTGATGCGTGAGACGCTCGGCCAACCTTTTCTGGTGGGCACGGGGATGGTGCAGCCGCGGGTGCAGATCAACCGAATGTGGACGCCCGTGTTGTCTTTTGCAGCGGTGCCTGCTCTTGTGCTGCAGGATGTGCCGGCCAAGTGTTCCCTGCAGTCACGCTGGGACCGCATATTTGACCAGGCCAACAACAACGAGGCTGTGGACGTGTATCAGCAGTTTGACTGCGCATGCGTCCCAGGGTACTCGACTCAGGGCGCAGCAGGTACCTGCACGCGCAACAAGACGTTCTTGGACCATTGGTGGGGCATTCTCATCGTGGTGGTTGCCAGCACGCTGGTTACGCTGCCGTTTTTCATCTGCGTGCTGCGCGTGATTTTCCGCCGCCTGCGCAAGGTGGAAGATGATCTCGAGCTCAACGCGCGCCTTCTTGAAAACGCCGAGACTGTGGTTTCGGCCCTCAAGAAGGGGTGGGAGATCGACTTTGAGGAACTCGCGCTCCGCGAGCGCATCGACGGGAGCATCCCAGGCACGTTTGGGGAAGTGTATCGGGCCGAGTGGGGCAAGTTTGAGGTGTGCGTCAAGGTTTTACGCCTCAACTGGCTGCATATGGACCCAATGGTACGGCAAGACTTTGAAAAGGAGGCCGAATTTTTGCAACAGACCAAGCACAGGAACCTCGTGCGTTTCTTTGGCCTGGGGGAGACCAACTGGAGTCCGCCAGCTCCCTTTATCGTGCTCGAGCTGGTGGAGCGCGGTGCTCTCAACGATGTCCTCAACAAAGAGCATCTGCCATGGCGCACCAAGCTGAGCATTGCAGCGGACGCTTCGCGTGGTTTGGCTTTTATTCACAGCCTGGGCCATCTGCACCGAGACGTCAAGAGCGGCAACTGCCTGATTACGAGTGATTATCGCTGCAAAATCAACGACTTTGGGACCCTGAAGCGGCCTTCAGAGGATCGCGAGCGAGAGCATCTCAGGGGCGTGGAGGATGACGAGGGCTGGATTGCTCTGGGTTCGCTAGCCAGCACGGTTGCGTCGACGGGCTCGAGCCAAGCCGCTCTTATGACCATGTCGACAACGGCCGGCACACCCATGTACATGGCGCCCGAGTGCTTGTTGCAGGGCAAGGTGTCTCCTGCCGCGGATGTTTTTGCTTTTTCACTTATTCTGTGGGAACTGCACTTTGAGCGTAGCCCGGACATTTTGCGCGAGCTTGAGGTTCCGCTGCGCGGACCGCTGTTTCCCACCCTGTGCCGAGTGTACCGCGAAGGGCGCCACTTGCCCTTGGAGGGCATGGTCGACTGGTATCAACGGCTTTGCGCAGCGTGCATGAGCCTCGAGCCGGCTGATCGACCCTCTTTTGACAGCGTCTTGCACGAGCTTGAAGCAACCTTGGCGCACCCGGACCTTGACATGGAGGTCAAGGCGGTGGTGTCTCAGCCCCAACTTGACCTCGACACCTCTACAGAAGAACAGCGCGTTTAATTTATGAGGGCTATACCACGAAATTGACATTGTCTTGTCTTTTATGCCGATCAAATGATACTCTTGTTCTAGTCGAGAGCAGCCGTCTTTGCATGCATTATCATGTGCATGACATAAGATGTGTGCGTGTATGGGGCGGGGGAGGGAGGATCTGTGCACGACGGGCTCTACGCCGCCTCTCACAGGCCGCCTTGTTTCTCTTGCTCTTTGTGTTCATAGATCAATTTTGTGATTTACATGTAAGGAAAAGTGAAGAAGATGAGATTTTGACACAAAATTTTCATTTTTTTTTTGACTCGCACACACACACACACACACACACACACACACACACACACACACGCTCGAGAGAAGTGTGTGCGGGGAAAGATCGAGAGAAGTGTGTCCGAGGAAAGATGGGCGGTGCTGTGGAAAACGCCCTGCAGCGGGCCGTGCAAGAGGCCTGGCGATGCCGGCTGCAGGAGCACGATGTTGTGTGCCAACGCCTTCAAAATAGGGCCAAGACGTTGGAGCTTTGGTTGGATGGTGTTGAGGCTCCGCCCGCTGAGGCTAACAGCAAGGTGAGGGTCGACGCCAGGCCGGTGCTCCTCCGCTGGGCTCTCGTTCCATTTGAGCTGATGCGCGTGTGTGGGTGGCATCACTTCTGCCGGGCGCCTTGTAGACGGACACGACGGTGGGGCGGCCTGTCCTGCACGATCTTGAGCGAGATGTCAAGGTGAGCCGGTGAGACGGTTAGGTGTTGCGACGCCCGACCTCGCTGTCTGATGTTTGGCTGCTTTTGTGCATTGGGCTTTTTGCAGAATCAGGTCGAGGCGCTGTCAGCACTTGTCGCATCGACATCGCCGACCGTGCACGCCGAGGCAGAAAATGGCATTGCTTCAAGTACGGGACCTGATGGTGCCCCGCCGGGCCCGGAAGCAGTCTTGCACGACATGCGCTGCCACCAGGTGGCCGAGGGCTTGCGAATCCGGCAGCTCGAGGAGCGATATGAGCACGCTGCAGCAGCGCGGGAAGAGCGGGTGCAACAGCTTTTGGATGCTGGAGCTCAGCAGGTTCAGGGACAGGGCGCACAGAGTGCTGCCGTGACACAGGCCTTGCTGAAGCACTATGTATCGGTCGCGGGCCGTGAGGCAGCGCTCTCACAGGCTCATGCACATCGTGCGCAGCTTGATGACCTTTTGGTGGAGCGTCTTGGTGCCGGGGAGCGCATGCAACAAGCCCATCATGCAGTCACACATTTTGAAGACGTTTTGGCAGAGACGGAGGGCGCCATTCAGAGTCTGGCGAGTGAGCTAGCATCCTTGCGACGGGTGGTGGAGGAGGAGCGGCAGACACTGTGGCAAGCGTCCGTAACGCACCGCGCGACGCTACGCGCACAAGTTGAAACGGCTGTCACCAAGCAGCAAGTTGCGGCGCGACGTGTGGCACAAGCCGTGAGTGCTTTTGCCTGGCATCTGAACGCCACGGTGGATGGTTCGTCGTCCATGCCTCAGCTTTGGCATGAGACATCAATGGCCTTGGCCGATCCGGCAGCACCGGCCACACGTGCTGGCATATTTCCGCTGCTTCGGCGTGGCCATGAAATTGTGGGTGTCCAGCGTGATCCGATTGCGGTTGTTCAGCATTTGCAACAGGCCATCAAGGCGCTTGAGACAGATAATACAATCCTGGCTGAGGCGTTGACGCGGGCACGGTCCAGTCGCTTGCTGCAAGTTGGACCTTTGGCCCGGCAGGCTGGGGAGGAGGAGGCAGCGGTTCTGCAGCGCTTGGAGGCCGTGCGCGAACAGCAAGCGCAGGTTAGCGTGGCTAAGGGCTACGAGTTACTACAGCAACGGTATGTGCATCAAATTGTCCCCACTCGACTTGTCTTTGCCCTTGGGTTGCTGGCACGCACGATCACGTCGCCACGCATTCATGGGCCCGTGCGCGCATGTATATATGTATATATTTATAGGCGAGATCAGCCGGCCCTTCGCATTCAAGTGCCCGAGTTTTGACAACAGCCCGCTCGATTCCCCGTCTCGTCAAGTTTCGCGCTGGGCCATGTTCAATTGTCCGCCTGCTGGACACGAATCAATTGACAAAAGTATCAAGGACTCAACTTGAACAACCGTTCTTGGAACCGTCAAGCCCCGCCCTGCTCAAGAAGGAGGTCAACCTTTTGACCAACGCTGCGGCATAAGATCACCAGTGTCAAGGAAAAAAACCGAGCAAAAGTCACTCAAAATATGATTGTAAATTGCGAAAGAAAAAGGAAAAGGGGGGAAAGAGCCATAACTCGGTTGATTGGGAATGGAGGGTGCCCGCGCAGCGGGACGGGACGTCAGACAAGCCAGGACGACAAGCTTGGTCATGCACAAGCATGCACGGCTCGTTTCATACACAGGACCAGCGTCCTCGGGCCTCGCGCCGAATACTTTAGGCAATTTTGTCGGAGCGGACGGGCGTCGATGCACTAATGAGGGTATCAGATACAATGTGGTGAAGCTCTGTGCCCGAATGCTCCTTCTCGTAGCGGCGCTTGCAGCGGTAGATGCGAAAGCTGATGAAGAAAACCACCAGCAGGCCAGCCACGAAAAAGACGGCGATCAAAGCCGCCACAAGAATGCCCATCGACTCTGGGTCCAGCACCTCTCGATCGAGATACTCTGGCCGATCACCGTTGCTCGCTACGTTTGAATCGTGCCGGCAGGACCGCGACGTGAGTCAACATCAGCGAGCACGCATGAGCGGTTCAAGTTACAACACACCAGGAGCAAGCGCAACTCACACATGACGCACGGTCCACGATCTCGCTGTCAATTCAATAGCCAGGGATACCAGAGACAAAGGCATGCACAGCTACGCCTTCAAGCCACGTCCCATCCGTGCTAGAGCAGAGCAGAGCAGAGCAGAGCAGAGCAGAGCAGAGCAGAGCAGAGCAGAGCAGAGCAGAGCAGAGCAGAGCAGAGCAGAGCAGAGCAGACCCCCCCACCACTCGGCGCCAGAAAAATAGAGAGAGAGAGAGATGAGAGAGAGATTTAGAGAGAAAGAATGAGTTGGTTTGGTCACAAAGGAAAAGCACAACTCATATTGAGAGAGAGAGAGAGAGAGAGAAAGAGAGAGAGAGAGAGAGAGAGAGAATGAATAATTTAATTGGTTTGGTCGGTCTGAGAAATAAAGAGAGGAAAAGCACAGAGGGAAAGTGGGCGGCTGTCCCTGAAAACGCACACCAACACCTGGTAATCATATGACATTACGAATAGCGAAAGCAGTGACATTAGCCGTGTTTTCTCTGTGTGTGTGTGAGAGAGAGAAAAGCCAAAGTGTAACATTTATTACAGTATCTCTCAGCCGCTACAAGTGCGTGAAGAGAGAGAGAGAGAGAGAGAGAGAGAGAGAGACACACACACACACCCGACGAAATGGCGGCGCCACTGCGAAGTGAACAAGTGCTGGATGCACGCTGGGATCGTTGCCTGACCAATGCCATTACTTTTACAGGTGCGTGGCGAGGAGGTCGTTCATGTCGTCTTCAATCAACGGCTGTGCTTGTGCGAGGGCATGATCAGTGAGCCCTTCCCGCAAGTTGCACGCGGCTGCAAGCTGCGCGGGTCGGCTCCAAGCATACAAAAAACGGGATGCGCTGCCCTCGGCGTCTCTCGTACTGCTGGTTCCATCGAGCCCGGCGCAGGCTTGATTTTCGTCTTCACCATGGCGCGCACTTTGCCTTGTTGTTGTCTTTTCCTTCGCTCTTTGCCATCTGTGCCATCTGCTCATGCTGGTGTCCTGCATGAATTTGCGGTCCTATTAGGCACTGGCTTTGGCTTGGGCGCTCTCTTCTCGCTGGTGCTGTTCCGAAGTGCGGCACCTCGTTTTTTCGCCGAGCCCCCCTCCTTGTCGCTTCCTGTCTCACGTCTGTATTGAGGCCTGGCACATATCTCACCCACTCCCTCTTCATTGCTTCGTGCTTTTTCGCCACCGTTTCTTGCTTCCCCTTGGCGCTTGGCAGGGCGGCCATGGCCCTTGGCCATGGGTACGGGCTTTGGTGCGGGCATGGCCTTTTCAGAGTGCCAGTATGACTTTTTGCACATGACTGCGCCCGCCCCCTCAAAGGCAGCGGCCAGCACTCCCGTCCAAACTTCCACGGATTCAACCCCGCCGGCCGAGGTGAGCCCCCACCAATTGGCACACGCCACTTTCAAAAGCTCTGCTGCCTCCACAGCAGCGCCCCTGTGCCATCCCCTCATTCAGCGTGCTACACTTTGATAGTCCAACATCAACGGCCACAACTAGTTTTTTTTTTCTCCCGTTGCCCCCCACCTGTTTCAGCCGCCCAAGGGTTTACTCGTAGCTTGAGCACGTGTCTCCAAAGCCAGCCAGAGGAGTCACCCTTCTCATCTGCTCTTCCTTTCTGCTCTTGTCCAGTGGTGACTGCTCGCAGTCAAGCATGGCTTGCGGTATGGAGACATCTCGTTGTTCTCTCAGCCATCCCTCTTGACAATTCACCCATCAACATCAATGCTCAAACATCTAGTCCTGGCTGCGCAACACGTGCTTCTTCCTCCTGATGGTCAAGAGATGCCGATCAGGCCTCTGTCAATTAAATCCCAATGGTCAACTGCAAGGGGGAGCGAGCATAAAAAAAATGGCACAAGGCAACAGGGACAACAGCACCAACCAGGAACAATATGCTTCATACAAAAACACAAAAAAAAACAAAAAAACAAAACAAAACAAAGAGAAAACTTGAACGAACACACACACAGCTGCTGAATTATTCCGACTCTAGCAAGGCTCTCCCATTCATTGCCCAGCTGGAAAGGCAAAGTGTCTCAATCAAAGCGTCTGCACATCGCACGATGGTTGAGGAATAGATCCGTTTCTTAATGGGCCACCTCTTCCTCGACTGACAACGCCGCAACGGCAGCACCAGCAGCCTCGACAGCCGCCGGACTAGCCTCAGCACTGTACTGTGGGACCATCTCGCGGCAGCGGCCCGGAGGAAAGCCTTCGCCGGC